ATATCAGATGATGTTAGGTAAATCATCATTTGCCTTAATTTGACCAAATGTAGTCAGTCACTTTGACAGGATACAAAGAAATCCTTTTTTTTCCATAGGAGAATAACAACATTACCTCTAGTCAATTAACTCAGACTTCCCAATTGCCATTTAACCGTATCACATAGTTCAGGAGGACTAGAATTGGTGGGCTGATCCTGCTCTGAGTGGACTTAATCAGGTGTGAGTCCATTGACATAAATGAAGTTATGCTGGTTTCAAAGCCACCTAAATGATAACAGAATTTGGTCTGATAGCTTTAGATCCTGATTCTATCCTAGACGCTGCACTTACATAGTTCCACTGACTCCATTTGCATTCTGGACAAGTGCAGGGCTCTGGTGCCAGTGTATATGGTACACTACAAGGATGTATAAATAAGAATCTCACAAAATATTTACATAATGGAGTAAGTCTATTACACTTGCATAGTAGAATAGGAAAAGAAGTAGGCCAGGTATGAGTCTCTAGATTCAAATTTGTAAACTCCAGTGATTGCTTATGCCAAAGCAAGGAAGTCTGTTGCTGTGTTCATTAGATAGCCTTAATTTGCACAGCATTATTGAAGTTAGAGCAGCTATGGCACTTTGTACTGGTGGAAGATCTGGCCTAATAGCTCTTTCTGCATATTTTAACACTTATCCTCCATTTGTCCCTCTTTCTACCTCGCTCTCTATCACCTTTGTATCGTGGTCTGTAGTGTTGCACCGTAGATCTGCTACAGTGACCTTTCATTGTACAGACGTCCTTATGAAATTACTTATTGTGAAATTAATTACTTTTAACATAAGGGCTACGTCTACACTGGCCCCAAATTCCGGAAAAGGGATGCAAAGCAGGTAAGTCAGAATAGGGAAATCCGCGGGGGATTTAAATATCCCCCGCGGATTTAAATAAACATGTCCGCCGCTTTTTTTCCGGCTTGGGGAAAAGCTGGAAAAAAGCGTCTAGACTGGCGCGATCCTCCGGAATAAAGCCCTTTTCCGGAGGATCTCTTATTCATACCTGAAAGTAGGAATCACATAGTACCTGAAAGTAGGAATAAGAGATCCTCCGGAAAAGGGCTTTATTCCGGAGGATCGCGCCAGTCTAGACGCTTTTTTCCAGCTTTTCCCCAAGCCGGAAAAAAAGCGGCGGACATGTTTATTTAAATCCGCGGGGGATATTTAAATCCCCTGTGGATTTCCCTATTCTGACTTACCTGCTTTGCATCCCTTTTCTGGAATTTGGGGCCAGTGTAGACGTAGCCAAGAAGAATCTGCAAGTGGAACTTCTTTTCAGCTTGCCTGCCTTGTGCATTTTCAGATTTGTATGTATTACAATTCATAAAGAGTTTCTGGTCAGATTCTAGAGCGGGTTACAGAGCTCGCTGGATTCCATCAATGTTTGTGGGGAGGAAGAAATCAGAGAAGCAGCTTAGGGCAGCTTTTTCTTGGGAATGAGCGTTCCTTTCCCAAGGGCTTCCCAGGATGCAAAGGGTTAGAAGAGTCCAACACAGTACTCTATCTCCTTCAGGACCAGTCCACACCTTCCTGCTAGAGGAGAAAATGGCAAGGAAACTGTATAACTTAGTTTCTGGGCTTGCCAGTCTCTGCCCTGTGACCCTTTTTAATTCTTAAGTCTTTTTTCTCAACACTCTGCTACATCGGAAAAAAAGAGTTAAAATAACATTTAGTCAGACTGTAAACCAGGGCTACTCAACTTTGGAAGCCTCAGAGGCAACAATGATATCTCAGCACATGCCGAGGGCTGCAACTTAAGTGTGATTGCATTTACATTCAAATATATATGCAAATAGCTTTTTTCATACAATGTCCCAGTGCTCCCAGCACCCCCTCTCTGGGGGCTAGAAATGCCCTGTTTGTGTCTTTCAATGCTCACCCCGCCTTGGAGATGACTTGCCATTGTGGAGCCTGTTCCCAGTGGAGGCCATATTCAAAGGATCCCAACCGCAGGCCATATATTAAGCCCCCATAAACCCAGGCTGCACTGCGGGCCGCAAACAAATAGGCCATGGCCCACATGCGGCCCAGCATGTTGAGTAGCCCTTCTTTAAACTAATGAAAGAAAGGAGGATTTTCATAAAGTGACTCACCAAAACAAAACTGCCATATTACACAGCCCTCTATCCTAGCTTAGGTAAATTCTCACTGTACCACAGCCAAGGACTTGTGTTTAATGCAGCCCATACATTGTCTTCTAGATAAAGCCATGTCCTGTTGTAGCATTAGACAGAATTATCTCTAGATGTCAACGCAGAATAAAAAATCTCTCACTTTCCTGCCACCTTCACTAGCAATTTCAGGGTAGAATTTCTTACTGGAAGAGGAGACCCTTATTTGGTTTTGAATGCAAACTGTCTTACAGCTCATCGTAGTCTTGTTAAATTTTTGCAGTTTTATTTAGTTAGATATTATATTTGGCCAATCAGATCCTTTTTATGGTGGCTTAGAACATCACAAGGGAATTGTATTTTATTCATGCCACAGCATATGCTGTGGAATACATCGCCATTGTGAGCCCTGCTGAGGCAATGGCTAAAATGCAAAATCTGGAAGTTGGGAGCATACATTTTTCTTCCTCCAAATAAGGCCACAGCTCCTCATCATGGAAGTATTTTTGGTTTTCTATAGCAATGCATCCTTTCTCTAATATTCCTCAGACTGTCTCAGAACTGTCATCCATGGCCTTCTCAGGACCACAAGCTTAAGAAGCTACAAGTATGTCTTTCAGCTTGACAAGCTGAGAAGGGGAAAGTTGGTTTGGTACCTTCATCTGCATTTTTTCTATTGTGACTGTAATAAATTGGTAGTTCTGTTTATTCATACTTGCACTGGATAAACAAGATTAAATATATTGAATCCTGTAATGGAAACTATATTTCACTCATGGAAATGTTCTAAATTGTAAACAGGTGCTCTGAAAAATTGATTTTTAGTACAGTATTCTTTAGAGTGAGTGTGCAATGGATAAATAACCCCAAAACAATTTCAAGAATTATGTAAAATCCCATGATCAGACATACTGTATTATGCAAAGATCATTGACATGCCAGTTGGTTTGCTGTGAAAATGAGGTTTATATATGTTGAGCTGCCAAGAGCAGAAAAAGGTAGGGAAAAAGTTTTACATGACTTAGAGCTGAAAAAGAGAGTTCAAATTATCTTTGCAGTTTTTTGAGCAAAATTAAATATGAGGACCAACTATACTGAGTTAATTTGTTTCCTGAAAAACAAAGCCAAGCCACATCAAAACAGCTTAAATTAAGGCTCTGTTTTTCAGTGGTTTTGCTTCTGCTCGGATTCATTGCAAAGATTAATGGAGGAAGCACAAACTTGCAGCTTAAGAGATCTGTTTTCTCAACTAAAGATTTTATTCTCTTTGATTTTTTTTTTCAATTGAGTTAGTGTCTTAAAGGAAGAGTGGGCTTCATTGTTGAAAGTTTTAAGACAGGGCTACTCAACTTTGGGTAGTGTGTTGAGTAGCCCTGGTTTAAGAAGTTATTGCATAGGACCTTTCATATGGCTAATGAATGATAATGTTCTCTATCCTCAGTCATATTACATGTTAAAGGGATGCCATCATCTTAAAAATCATATTTCGCACTGATTGTTTTTCCTACTGTTATGTGTGCTTTTACAAAAATAATTATAACTTAAATTTACCGAGGGAAATTGTTTTTCCTGCTTTCTGTTGTGTTTACTTTGTGCATTTTTGGCAGTATTTTCTATTTACTCGGATTTACTCTTTCTCCTGTATATTTAGAAAAGTCAACATCATTTTCTATTTACTCGGATTTATTTACTCTTTCTCCTGTATATTTAGAAAAGTCAACATTTTCCAAAGTGACCTGTGGTTTTATGTGCCCACCTTTTTGGGTGCCCAGCTCAGCCCAATTTTTCAGCATATAGCGCTTGGATAATTTCCAATGACCTCAGCTGCAGTCATGAGTACCTGGCACTCTCAAAAAGGAGACCCAAGCTGGGAACCCAAAAAAGGGAGGCACCCAAAAAACAGACATCACTTTTGAAAAGATAGTCTGAAGTAATTTTTCTCTGTTACGTATGTGTCTTTCATGCAGTAATAGAGAAGAGAGAACAATTCTGAAATAACAAGCAATGTTTCCTGGGCAAGGGGATTCCAGGAAATTACAACCTGAAATTATTGCTACACCTTTTTTAAAAATTACAGAAGTTCACATTGATGGTATCTTTTTAATCCAGACAGAATTAAAATGTGAAATGTATTGCCTAGTAAATGCATATCACTGCCACAGTTGGTACAAGTATTTGCTTATCATAAATGGTGTTTGCGTATCATAAATGGCCATTGAAAAAAAATATGTATTTTTTACTTTTTCCCAGAAGTGCCATGTTGTAGTTATAATCAGAGCTACAAAACCTTACTGGTTTGCCGAGCCATTTCCTTAGTAATATTGCTACCCTTGAATGCTAGTCTGATCTTTCATTGCTTCCTTTCCCCTTTAATGCAAACAGAGATGAGTCTTTGGCATGTTCAGAATAGTATTTGTACTTTCTTGGGCTCACTTCTAAAGTTGGACTGCTTTCCAGTAGTTGGCTGTCTGCTGGGAAGAAATAACCTTCTGCCAATGTGGAGATTTGTGGCTGCATGTCTATAGATTTCATTAGTGCTTTGATGAGGGTATTTTCATTGAAAAAGATTGTGTAATCAGAGAAAATTGTTACATTTCTTTTCAAGGGAACAGCGTTTTAGCAACAATAGTTCTCTGTAGACATACTGTAAAAACATGTGTAATGTAGTGATACTATTTTATTTGTTGTTGGTCTTATAAATATTAGGTAGTCTGTAGAATTAGCTGTTTCCTCTCCCGTCCTTCCCCCCCTTAGATCTTTGGTTTGTCTTGTTTGGTAAGTGACATAATGAAGATAGATATTCCTGTGGCTGTTTAATACCAACTATGCTCATTTCTTCTATGTGTAGGGTCGATGCTCAAGGGAGAACTGCAAATATCTTCACCCACCCCCACATTTAAAAACACAATTGGAGATAAATGGACGCAATAACCTGATTCAGCAGAAGAACATGGCCATGTTGGCCCAGCAAATGCAACTAGCCAATGCCATGATGCCTGGTGCCCCATTACAACCTGTGGTAAGCATATTTTCATCTCTTATTTGTCAACAGAGCAACATAGTGAAGAGCTGTTGATAATTATAAAATAGGTCATTGCAAATAGACTAAGGCTGATATAAGATAGCCAGTATCACATATCTAGTAAGATGCCCATAAAATTTGGCATCGACCACTAAGTAATGGAGACATCAAATACAACAAAATTGCTTTTCTGTATCCATTTATAGTGCTTTATTTTACCTTGTTTGTACTGCAATTAGAATAATATAAGTTCTTGTTTTGTTCATTTAATTGTATGAATTTTAATTTGAAAAAAATAGGTCTCTCTCTAGAGTGCCAGAAAAATAGACTTCCTTTGAAATGATTACAATTTCACTACATACTGTTAGACAAAGTTCAGAGCTGGTAGTCAGACTATGTTTACTGTAAATTTGACGTGCAAAGTCAACATATCAGGCTTGTGAGGCAGAAGGATCAGTAAATTTATCCCATTTTTAAAAAGGGAATAATAAGGAGAACCTATCAGAAATCTGTTCTCTGATTGCAATGTGACCTAATCATTAATACATATTGTCTGTCCTTCTTTTCTGATACCTTGCTTAATATACACATGGAATGTATCATGTAAGCTGGTCTCCAAGCAGATGAGTTAGTTTATATTTCTACAGTGATCCACAGCCTCAGTGTATATAAATATGACTGTCATCAGCCAACTATATACATATTCAGTTGGGAGTTGAACACAATGCAGGACACATCACTGATATAATTCCACTGAAGTCAGTTGAGTTAAACGGAGAATAAATTTGGCCCCTGGTCCTTCAGATGCAAGCACTAACTCAGTTACTGGAGGGCATTAATAAATATATGAATTAGGGATGTAAATATGTAGTCAGCTACCTGATAAGGCTAGGCTTATCGGGTAGTCAAGTTGACTACTTGCATTCCCCCTCCCCTTGCTGACTCTACATCAGAGGCAGCAAGGGGGAGGGAGCAGGAGCCAGTGCTGGGGGGAGCAGGCTTAAAAGCCAATTCCCTCCCAGCATCATCTCTGTGGTGTCGCCTGCTCCCTCCCCTTGCAGCTGCATAGGCAGCACAGGGGATGGCTGGGGAGGGAGGACAGCAGCAGCACCTCTCTGAATGGGATCCCAACTTCCCGCTGGGACCCCTCATGGATAGGGGCTGCTTCTGGGGGGCAGGCAGCCCAGCTCCTACCGCGTTTTTAATTGCGGAGCTGCAATGGGATTTGGTCCTGACATGAGCTGAAACTGAGCTGGCTGCCTTCCCCTATTGAATAATCAAGTAGTCAATAAAAATTCTATCGATTATTCGATCAATAAAATAAACACATTTTAACATCCCTAATATGAACAGGACTAGTGTGCTGTTTGCAAAAAAAAGTACATAAGGCAGCCCACTGCATTGCCAGTTGCAGGAGTTCTTAGAGTTCATACATAGAGATGAAGGGTGGTAAATTGATAGCCTGTGAGAAATGAGAGGATGGAAACCCTTTTCCCTGTTCATTCCCTGAGCATCCTATCTTGATTGTGGATAACTTGATAGAAGTAGAATTCACCCTTGAATAACTTCCTTTTGCCTGCTTACCTAGCAGACTGCATTAATAATGTATGGTGTATTTGTTTAACTTGGTTTTTAATTTTAAAACAATGTAATAGTCATTTAAAATTCCTAAATGTAAAAGTAGAGTCATTACAAAAATTAGAACAGTAGCAAGAACTATCAAAGTTGTGTAAAACAGTTGAAAATTTCCACACTTGCTGGGTCTTAAATATCAATAATTTTTAATCATATTTTAATTAGTTAACTCAATACAATTGTTATTCTTTCATAGAACTATATGCCTCAGTCATTCCAAAAAAGAGGGGGGGAGGGATCTCCATATTACATCGACATTGATACCAATTATCAATACCAAACATTCAAGGTGAGAAAATATTATATTTCAATTTTTGCTGTGTTGTGATAGGCCTTTCTTCAAATTAAAATTAATTCTAGTTAAAGCAAGGAAGTTAAGTAGACCAACAGCAGCATACTAACTTGAGAATGTTAAGGCACCATACTAACTGTGAAGATGCTATAATGTTATAAAAATATAACCCAGACAGTAATCGAAGAAATGGACCTATCAGAGACCTTAACCTGTGATTTGGTGCCCTCTAATTTTGCCTGCTTTCTAATCTGAAATAATCCCTTTCTTTGTACCAGTCAAATAGCTCAAATGAAGAGTCTGTCTTACAGGTTGTATCTTCAAAATGGCCCCCAAACTGGTCTCTAAATGTTGTCATGCAAGTTTTGAACATCCAAAACCATAGATGTATATGTGCAAACAATTTGTATACCTAAGTAGTCTTTTAAAACCCTGATTTGGGAATATAATTGTGCCATTTGTGCTAACAAATCCAAGTTTTGGATCATGCAAGAACTTGGCCATGCAAATATAGGAGGGTGCTTTGAAAAAAATATTGTCAATAACACAACATTTATTTGTATAATACAGTTTAACTAAATACAGCTTTCACTTTGCTTTGCACATACTAATATATAGATGATATAGCTAAGCTGCAATAACATTTCTAGAACAATAATTTTCTGAAAGATAAATAAATGGAAGTAACATTTATTTTAATATTAAAGTTGGCAGGTCAAGCTCTGCCTTTTCTTATGTCTCTAGAGTCCCAAATTGGGAACAGAATTTGGGTCAACGTATTTTAAAACATAGCACAAAGACTTCTCATTGTGTCTCAAAAATTCTGTATATTAAGGGTTAAAACTCTTGCATGTGCAATTTTTATATGTAATTGTTTGAGTACAAAAATTATGTAAATTTGTTTTTTCAAAAGGCATGTGCATTCAATATGTGCATGTAAAATGTCAGAGGGAGAGCAGGGGGAGGGTTATTGCACGGGTGATATTGTCTACAAGTGGATTCTACTCTAGTAATCTGTCTCTAAAATTGTTTCCTGAGCATAATTGCAATAGATGTCATTACAGAGCATTGTAGAAAAAATATGTCTATGATCCCATTTGACTCTGGTTCTTGTTCCCTTTTGTTTTGTTTACTAAAAATTAATAACGGGTGATTTAACAAAAGTGAAATGCACTAACTTAGTGAAAAGCCTGAAGTGAAAAAGTAAAGTGATAGGATCAATTCAAAATCCATCCTTTTGTTTGACAAATGTTTTAAATTATTTTTGATGCCAGTAATAGTATAACTCAGTGAGGGGCAACCTAGGCTGGCGAGTGGGATGTATGAGTAGCCCTCCTTCATGTAAGAGGGCTGCAAGATTGTCATAACCAAGACGGTCTCCTGGTATAGGGTAGTTTTGCTAACTGCATTTGCATACCTAGAATTTGTAGGAAATATTGATTGAACCACACCAGCGCTTTGATTGGATGCAAAGGAAGTGCATGGCTCTCACAATCAGTGTTGTGTGCAATCATCACGCACCTCACTTCACGTGCCTGTGCTTTACATGCGTGTCACTTTAATAATTCCAGTAGGGAAAAAAAACTATGCGGATGAAAAACTATGAGGACGAAAACCAGCAGAATCTGGCAACCCTATGCGAAATGGTAAACAAAATGTCTCATGGGCCACACATAGACCTCCAGGACAATGTAGCACTTTAAAGACTAACAAGATGGTTTATTAGATGATGAGCTTTCGTGGGCCAGACCCACTTCCTCAGATCAAAATCTGATCTGAGGAAGTGGGTCTGGCCCACGAAAGCTCATCATCTAATAAACCATCTTGTTAGTCTTTAAAGTGCTACATTGTCCTGGAGGTCTATGTGTGGCCCATGAGACATTTTGTTTACCATTTCGCATAGGGTTGCCAGATTCTGCTGGTTTTCGTCCTCATAGTTTTTCATCCGCCTAGTTTTTTTTCCCTACTGGAATTATTAAAGTGACCCTCCAGTGTGCCACATGTGCCACATGCAGCCGTTGGGCCACAGGTTGCCCACTATAACTGAAAGAGATTAGAGAAGAATATTTTCCCTCTTTTTTTCTGTGTATTTACTTAATTCTTTTGTCAGACTTTGTGTAGCCTCTTTCCTCTGACATAGTCAGTTTTCCCCGAGGTGAAGGGATGATCTAGATGGTGCTTAGTCCTTACGTGAGGCCACGGAACTGGACTTGATGACCTCTCAAGGTCCCTTCCAGTTCTAGTATTCTATGATTCTATGATTTAAACCAAGGTAATTTAAATAATTATTTATATTACATGCTTTTTAAAAATCCTTGATTAAAATCAGGCTGAGACTTTATAAAACTAATTTGAAAATGTGTGTGATTGCAACTTTAGATTAAAATGTTTAATAAACTAAATAATCAACGATGAAACCACCGCTAGTAATGTAACTTACTGGAATTTTACAAACATGAGCCAAAGCGATAGCCAAAATATTGAAAATGAATTAATTTTGTAAACACTTAGGAAAGTATATAACTTTATTCCCATCATTTTCACATGCTTAATGTAAAACATATACATAAATATTTACTGCATCAGGAGCTAAAATTATATTTGTAATAAACCTTTTCTCTACACACCATAAAATCTTTGTCATTTCACCCTGGTCTACGGTAGAAAGTTATTTTGAAATAACCCCCTTTATGTCAAAAAAATAGTTGGAGCATCCACACTACCAAGCCCGTTATTTTGAAATCTGTACTCCTGCTTTCCTCAGGAAATAACACATTACGGTGGACACTCCACTATTACTACTACTTTGAAATAACTACTCCCCAGTGTAATTTGAAGTAATTACTCCCCAGTGTAATTCTGGGGCTCTAAGGCGAGATAGAGCATCCTCAATAATGGACCCTGTCTTGGATTAATTTTTAGGCTTTCTGGTAGTGTGAACACACTATTTAGATTTTGTTATTTCAGGAGTTATTAAATTGATTTTAATTATTTTGAAAGTTTCCTAATGTAGACATGCCCTTGAAAAGTACTTCAGTGTTATCAGTGAAAAGTTATTTAGATGTTCTGTATATTAACACTTAATGTGAATTTTATATGCACTCAGGCCAGCAAATAGCTCCTATTTGCTATTGGACTCCTAAATTTACATTTAGGCAAGTAAGTAAGTGTGGACTTTCAAAAATCCTACTTGACAGAGCAGCACAAGTTTCATTGAGTTCAAACTGAAAACTGGTGGAGTATATATACTGGTTGAAGTGCTTCAGATTTCTTGACTTGTAGAAGTTTAGTACCTTGGAAGGTTATGTTACAAATATAGCAAGGATTGTTTGCTTATCAGTTTTGTGTTGTCACAATAAGGATGTTAATGAGACCCTGGATTTGTCTTTTACAACACTGAGTATTTAAATATGAAAAATGTTTAAATAAAATAGTAGGAAGATGGGTAGAGCCCTGCAAATCCTCAAATATCTGCTTTATATCTATCATCCAAGTTTTGTATCTGCACAGGGCCTCTAAAGATGGGATCGTAAAACCACAAAAATTGGCAGGGGGATTTAGGAACTGATACTGACATTGCCTTTATGGAATGACTAGATTTCAAGTTGATGCACCTTTTCAGTGTATTAAAACAAAACTAAAATGCCCGCTCAGCTTAACATTCCCTATCTTAAATTCCTGAGCCTTTCATTTCAAACTCTTCTTCCACTTATGCTTTGTTTGCATTTTTTTAAACTTTCACTGTCTGACTGATAGAGCTGAGTAGTAAATGGTTTCTGATGGTTTAGAATGTTTTCCAGTTCTCTACTGGGACAAAGTGGAGATATTTTATTTTATTTTACCAAAAAACAGAGACTCTCCACACCCAGCAATTACCAGTAACCTGATGACTCTTCAAGCACTCACCTGTGATGCGCACAATCTGAGTTCAAATCCCTCATCTAAATCAAACAGAGCAGGGATTAAACTCGGGTCTCTAACCCTGATGAGTACCTTAATCCCCAAGCTCTTAGCTACTCTGGACTGAATAAAGGCTTACACATATTTTTCACACTATCTCAAACATTTTGACCAGAAATTCCCACCCTGAATCCAAGAGAGTTTTCTTGATGAAAGTTTCAAATCTGGAATGTTCCCAAGAATAATTTTGAAATCACCATATTCTGATTAAAAAAAAAATCTTTTGTCAAAAAATTCCTGACCAGCTGTATTGAAAAGTTTTATAAACATGGGACAGAGATTCTGAGGATACTGTCATTTGAACCCCCTTACCCATCCTAATGACAAATGGGGAGCACTCACAGCAATCAGAAAGTCAGAAGGTCACTCAGTTGATAGTATGCATTTTCTGTCCAATAACCATTTGTATGCACTGCTCACAGGTGCAGGAAGTTAGAGTGTGGGGATGCTGAAACACCTACAGGTTTTGTGCCCAGCAGCCCACCAATAGTCTCGTGCCCCTAATACTTCTTTCAGCCGTCTCAGGGCAGCCTCCTTTTACTTACTAGGATCAAGTAAGGTATTTAAATTATTGATTTGTTCTTGTGAATCAGGCAGAACCTCTCACCAAAGAGTGCTACCGCTTCTGAGCAAAAATTATGCATCCAATGAAGTTTCAGTGAGAGTGAGTTTGTGCTGAAGATGTGCTGATACTGCGTATGGCTTTTCTCAGTCACCTCAAGGCTTACTGCTTTACACTGCCAGAAAGTTCTGTTCCTTGATTTGACTGTAATTGTCAGCCAATGGTGCACTCTATAAAGCTACCCGGGAATTTATTTTAAGCTTAGAAATACTGTGAAATTTGGCTCTTGCACCTCTCTTGGATTGATGTCCCCACAAGGGAAGCCTTGTGGAAGCTGATCTGGAAGCGCCGCGGTCTGGCCCGGGTCCTCCGCCGCTTTGCTCCGTGTCTCCCTGGTCAGCTAGTGCCCCTCCCCCCCCAAGCAGACCAGGGAGACGTGGAGCAAAGTCCGGGGCCTGTGGTAGAGCAGGTGGGG